TCCCAGTCGGACCAACTGGCCTGTTGGTCCAACGGACCGGTCGGACCAACTGGCCCGTTGGTCCAATGGACCGGTCGGACCAACTGGCCAGAAGGTCGAATGGACCGGTCGGACCAACTGGCCAGTTAGTCCAATGGACCGGTTGGACAAACTGGCCTGTTGGTCCAATGGACCCGGTCGGACCAACTGGCCCGTTGGTCCAATGGACCCGGTGGGACCAACTGTCCTGGTGGTCCAATGGACCCGGTTGGACCAACTGGCCTGTTGGTCCAATGGACCGGTCGGACCAACTGGCCTGTTGGTCCAATGGACCCGGTCGGACCAACAGATCTGTTGGTCCAATGGACCCGGTCGGACCAACTGGCCTGTTGGTCCAATGGACCCGGTCGGACCAACTGGCCTGTTGGTCCAATGGACCCGGTCGGACCAACTGGCCTGTTGGTCTAATGGACCGGTCGGACCAACTGGCCTGTTGGTCCAATGGACCCGGTTGGACCAACTGGCTTGTTGGTCCAATGGACCCGGTCGGACCAACTGGCTTGTTGGTCCAATGGACCCGGTTGGACCAACTGTCCTGTTGGTCCAATGGACCGGTCGGACCAACTGGCCTGTTGGTCCAATGGACCGGTCGGACCAACTGGCCTGTTGGTCCAATGGACCCGGTCAGACCAACTGGTTTGTTGGTCCAATGGACCGGGTTGGACCAATTGGCCTGTTGGTCCAATGAACCGGTCGGACCAATTGGCCTGTTGGTCCAATGGACCAGTCGGACCAACTGGCCTGTTGGTCCAATGGACCCGGTCGGACCAACTGGCCTGTTGGTCCAATGGACCCGGTCGGACCAACTGGCCTGTTGGTCCAATGGACCCGGTCGGACCAACTGGCCTGTTGGTCCAATAGACCCGGTCGGACCAACTGGCCTGTTGGTCCAATGGACCGGTAGGACCAACTGGCCTGTTGGTCCAATGGACCATGTCAGACCAACTGGCCTGTTGGTCCAATGGACCCGGTCGGACCAACTGGTCTGTTGGTCCAATGGACCAGTTGGACCAACTGGCCTGTTGGTCGAATGGACCGGTTGGACCAACTGGCCGGTTGGTCCAATGGACCAATCGGACCAACTGGCCTGTTGGTCCAATGGACCAATTGGACCAACTGGCCTGATGGTCCAATGGACCGGTTGGACCAACTGGCCTGTTCGTCCAATGGACCTGTCGGACCAACTGGCCTGTTGGTCCAATAGACCCGGTCGGACCAACTGGCCTGTTGGTCCAATGGACCGGTAGGACCAACTGGCCTGTTGGTCCAATGGACCCGGTCAGACCAACTGGCCTGTCGGTCCAATGGACCAGTTGGACCAACTGGCCTGTTGGTCGAATGGACCGGTTGGACCAACTGGCCCGTTGGTCCAATGGACCCGGTCGGACCAACTGGCCTGTTGGTCCAATGGACCGGTCGGACCAATTGGCCTGTTGGTCCAATGGACCGGTCGGACCAACAGGCCTGTTGGTCCAATGGACCGGTCGGACCAACTGGCCTGTTGGTCCAATGGACCTGTTGGACCAACTGGCCTGTTGGTCCAATGGACTTGGTCAGACCAATTGGCTGTTGGTCCAATGGACCCGGTTGGACCAACTGTCCTGGTGGTCCAATGGACTCGGTCGGACCAACTGGCCTGTTGGTCCAATGGACCCGGTCGGACCAACTGGCCTGTTGGTCCAATGGACCGGTTGGACCAACTGGCCTGTTGGTCCAATGGACCCGGTTGGACCAACTGGCTTGTTGGTCCAATGGACCGGTCAGACCAACTGGCCTGTTGGTCCAATGGACCGGTCAGACCAACTGGCCTGTTGGTCCAATGGACCGGTTGGACCAACTGTCCTGTTGGTCCAATGGACCCGGTCGGACCAACTGGCCTGTTGGTCCAATGGACAGGTTGGACCAACTAGCCTATTGGTCCAATGGACCGGTTGGACCAACTGTCCTGGTGGTCCAATGGACCCGGTCTGTTGGTCCAATGGACCCGGTTGGACCAACTGGCCTGTTGGTCCAATAAACCCGGTCGGACCAACTGGCCTGTTGGTCCAATGAACCGGTCGGACCAACTGGCCTGTTGGTCCAATGGACCGGTTGGACCAACTGTCCTGGTGGTCCAATGGACCCGGTCTGTTGGTCCAATGGACCCGGTTGGACCAACTGGACTGTTGGTCCAATGGACCGGTCGGACCAACTGGCCTGTTGGTCCAATGAACCGGTCGGACCAACTGGCCTGTGGGTCCAATGGACCCGGTCAGACCAACTGGCCTGTTGGTCCAATGGACGCGGTCAGACCAACTGGCCTGATAGTCCAATGGACCGGTTGGACCAACTGGCCTGTTGGTCCAATGAACCGGTCGGACCAACTTGCTTGATAGTCCAATGGACCCGGTTTGACCAACTGGCTTCTTGGTCCAATGGACCAGTTGGACCAACTGTCCTGGTGGTCCAATGGACCCGGTTGGACCAACTGGCCTGCTGGTCCAATGGACCGGTTGGACCAATTGAACTGTTGGTCCAATGAACCGGCAACTGGTCTATTGGATTTATGGACCCGGTCGGACCAACTGGCCTGTTGGTCCAATGAACCGGTCGGACCAACTGGCCTGTTGGTTCAATGGACCGGTTGGACCAACTGGCCTGATAGTTTAATGGACCCGGTCGGACCAACTGGCCTGTTGGTCCAATGGATGGGTTTGATTAACTGGCCTGATAGTCGAATGGACCGGTTGGACCAAGTGGCCTGTTGGTCCACTGGACCGGTTGGACCAACTGGCCTGTTGGTCCAATGTACCCGGTTGGACCAACTGGCCTGTTGGTCCAATGGACCCGGTCGGACCAACTGGCCTGTTGGTCCAATGGACCCGGTCGGACCAACTGGCCTGTTGGTCCAATGGACCGGTCGGACCAACTGGCCTGTTGGTCCAATGGACCCGGTCGGACCAACTGGCCTGTTGGTCCAATGGACCTGTTGGACCAACTGGCCTGTTGGTCCAATGGACTTGGTCAGACCAATTGGCTGTTGGTCCAATGGACCCGGTTGGACCAACTGTCCTGGTGGTCCAATGGACTTGGTCGGACCAACTGGCCTGTTGGTCCAATGGACCCGGTCGGACCAACTGGCCTGTTGGTCCAATGGACCCGGTCGGACCAACTGGCCTGTTGGTCCAATGGACCGGTCGGACCAACTGGCCTGTTGGTCCAATGGACCGGTTGGACCAACTGGCCTGTTGGTCCAATGGACCGGTTGGACCAACTGGCCTGGTTGTCCAATGGACTGGTCGGACCAACTGGCCTGTTGGTCCAATGGACCCGGTTGGACCAACTAACCTGATTGTCCAATGGAACTGGTCGGACCAACTGGCCTGTTGGTCCAATGGACCCGGTTGGACCAACTGGCCTGATAGTCCAATGGACAGGTTGGACCAACTGGCCTGTTGGTCCAATGGACCGGTTGGACCAACTGTCCTGGTGGTCCAATGGACCCGGTCTGTTGGTCCAATGGACCCGGTTGGACCAACTGGCCTGTTGGTCCAATGGACCTGTCGGACCAACTGGCCTGTTGGTCCAATGGACCGGTCGGATCAACTGGCCTGTTGGTCCAATGTGTCAATCATTATATGTGTTGTGCTTGTTTAGGCTGCAGTGGGTTAGCCTATAGGGGGTACACAATTCTAGGGTTAGGTACTTGTACTCATTTCACTGCTAGTTCATTCATTCCTCGTTCAGTTCTTCTGACATGGTATCAGAGCAGGTCCTTCGCTAGGACCTAAGTTTTTTTTTCGGGCCCACCTCTACTAACTGCTTCCTAGCGCCTTAGTGCGCCCTACTGTCGGAGTGCTGCGTTAGCGCCTCCCCCTCAGCGCCCTCGTGCGCCCTCGTGTACGGCCCCTTAAGGCCCCGTCGACCCCGCGCGCCGCCCCTTAGCGACTCTCGCGCTGCCCCTTAGTGGCCCCGTCGAACCCGCGCGCGCCCCGATTCCGGCCCGCTTGGCCCCGTCGACCCCGCGCGCGACCCCGTAATAGGCCCCGCTGGCCCCGTCGGTCCCGCACGCGCCCCGCTTACGGCCCCGTCGACCCCGCGCGCACCCCGTTTAGCGGCCCCGCGGCCCCGTCGAACCACACCTAGAGGCCCCGCGGCCCCGCGCGCACCCCGTTTAGCGGCCCCGCGGCCCCGTCGAACCCAGCCTAGAGGCCCCGCGGCCCCGTCGCCCGCCACCTCACGGCCCCGCGACCCTGCTGCGCCCCGCTTAGCGGCCCCACGGCCCCGTCGAGCCCCGCTTAGAGGCCCCCGCGGCCCCGTACCGCCCCACTTAGCGACTCCGCGCAGCCGCGCAGCCCGAACCGAGCCGCGCCGCCCTACCTGAACCGAGCCGCGCCGCCCGACCGAGCCGCGCCGCCCTACCTGAACTGAGCCGCGCCGTCAGACCGAGCCGCGCCGCCCGTACCAGCAGCCCCGTCGATACTGCTGCTCCTCCTATTTCTTCTACGGCTACTACTACTGCTCCTACTGCTACTACTGCTGCCACTATGGCCAGTCCTCCCGTGCTTGCTTTCGATGCTGAGGGCCGCCCAGTGAAGTTTGACACCTGGCTAGATGACCTGCACCTCTTCCTACAGCTCACTGCCAAGGAGGATATTTCGCTGTACGATCATGCCCTCGGTCACGCTACTGCCCCTCCTACCACTGCAGACAGCACTCAGCGCTCACAGTGGCAGACTCGTGACGCCCATGCTCGCTTCGCTATTCGCAACTCCCTGCCGCTAGATGAGCGCGAGCACTTTGGCCAGCACAAGACTGCTAAGGACCTGTACACTGCTGTAGTTGCTCGTTACTCCTCACCTGCCTCTGCCGCACTAGGCCGCCTCACCCTCCCCTACCTGTTCCCCGACCTGGTCTCCTTTAGCACAGTCGCTGACCTCATCACCCACCTCAGGACCAGTGAGGCCCGCTTTCGCGCTGCTATGCCTGACGAGTTCCTTGCCAGCAACCCCCCCCCGCTCTGGATCACGCTCTACCACATCGTCACCCGCCTCCCTGACTCTCTGCGCGCAGTCAGGGATCACTTCCTCGCTCGCTCTCCCACTGAGCTCACCATTGCCCTCCTCGAGAAGGAATTGCTTGCAGCTGAGGCGAGCATCGTCGCTGTAGGCACCTCTCGTGGCGACCCCCGCACCCCGTTCTTTGAGGGGTGTTCCCCTTCCCCTCTCCTCCCCTCTGTCGCCTCTGCTGCTGCTGTCGACCTCCTTGGTGCTGAGAAGGTCGGGACCGCGTCTGCTCCGAGCGGGCGCCGCAGGGGCAAAGGGGGCAAGGGTGGAGGTGGCGGCGGGGGAGGCGGGGGTGGAGGTGGGACTGGAGAGGCTAGTGGCGGCAGTGGGGGTGGTGACAGCAGCGGCGGGAGCGGTGGCAGGGGCGGAGGCGGCAGCGGAGGCGGAGGTGGTCGTGGCGGCGGCAGGGGTGGAGGTGGCCGGGGCGGTGGCGGCGGCGGTGGTGGTCGTGGAGGCGCTGGCGGTGGCCAGAGCCAGCAGCACGCCCCGTCGCTTCAGGAGGCACGTGAGTGGTATTCGCAGCGGGGGGGGGCGGGTGGTTTTACCTGCACGTACGTCATTCGCACTGGTGATTGCGCTGGCCAGATGTGTGGAAAGCCGCACCCCACGCAGCGCTGTTTCTCGCGCCTTACCGACGCATGGCGCGCCCAGTTTCCTGCTGGCGCTGAGCTGCCCCGCTGGGCTGATCTGGAGAGGCAGGGGGAGCAGTGGGACGTTGCATGTGGCGCCGACCAAGGGCATCGCCGGTGGCCGACAGGACGAGCAGCAAGTCGACGAGCAGCAGGTCGACAAGCAGCAGGTCGACCTGGGAGTGCAGTCGACCTGGATAAGGGGGGAGCCGGTCGAGGAGGTGCAGCCGACTTGGGTGAAGCCGACAGGGGAGCAGGCAGCAACGAGGTCGACCCAGGAACAGTCGGCGACCTGGCGATCGACAGGGGAGCTGACCACAGGGGAGCTGTCGACTTGGAAGTCGACCGAGGTGCAGCAGGGCGACGAGGACGGCAGTGAAGATGAAGGGGAGCAGTTGGGCGACGAGGAGCTGGTCGACCAGGAGGTGGCCGACCAGTCCACCGACCATGACGCGGTGAGGGTTCCGCCTGAACCCCGGAAGTCTGGTCGACTTCGAAGGCCGCCCGACTTCTTCATTCCCGCTGCCTTCACCACGGTGTACGACGTGGAGGACGACGACGACCTCCTGTACGATGACGCCGAGGAGGATGAGGACTTCCCGGAGCTCGACCCCGACATGCTGGCCGACCCCGAGCACCGCTGGGACATCTCGACGATGACGGTGAAGGAGGCGCTAGCGAGCTGGAAGGGTCCGACGGTGAAGGCCGCCATGGAGGAAGAGATCCGTAGTCTCCTCGCCATGGGCACGTGGGAGCTGGTCGAACGCCCGCCGGGAGTGAATGTCATGAAGAACCGGTGGGTGCTGACGACAAAGTACCACATCGACGACACCGTCGAGCGGGAGAAGGCGAGGCTGGTCGTGAAGGGCTTCACGCAGGTGTACGGCGCCGACTACGACGAGACGTTTGCGCCGGTGGGCAGCTACGTCACGCTGAGGATCTTCCTCAGCATCGTCGCCGTCCTCAACCTGAACCTGATGCAGCTCGACATGAAGAACGCCTTCCTGCAGAGCAAGCTCGACCGGGTGTTGTACATGTCGCAGCCGGACTACTTCAACGACGGAACCGGCCGGGTGTGCAAGCTGCTGAAGAGCCTGTACGGGCTGAAGCAGTCGCCGCTGCTGTGGTACTTGGCGCTCAACGACGTGCTGGTCGACGCTGGGTGGAAGAAGAGCCAGGTCGACGAGGCCCTTTACTTCAAGGTCGGCGCCGACGGAGCGACTTGCTGGGTGCTGGTCTACGTCGACGACTTGCTTGCCGCCAGCAGTAGCCCCGCGATGCTGAAGGAGCTGAAGGAGCTGCTGGAGGCCGCCTTTGAGCTGCGCGAGATCTCGCCGGTGCAGAAGTACCTCGGGCTGGAGATCGTGCGCGACAGGTCGGCGGGGAAGCTGTGGCTGCACCAGCAGGGCTACGCCGACAAGCTGCGTAGGCGCTTCATCGACGAGGAGCAGGGCAGACGGACTCCGAAGACTCCAGTCTCGGTCGACGCCTACGCCGAGCTCACCTTCGATGACGAGGAGGCACAGGAGCGACAGGAGGAGGAATACCGGCAGAAGGTCGGCTCGCTGCAGTTCGCGGCGACGACGACGAGGCCGGACATCGCCTTCGCCTGCAGCAAGCTGGGGAGCGGCCTCACGGTGAGGAGCGACCAGCACTGGCGCGAGGTCGACCGCTGCCTCGCCTACCTCGCCAACACGCGTGACACCGCCCTAGAGTTCGGCGGTGGACCTGAGTCGCTGGAGCTGGTCGGCTACGTGGACGCCGACGACGCTGGTGACAAGCAGAGTAGGACGAGCACGGGCGGCTACGTGTTCGTCTACGGAGGGGCCGCGGTCTCCTGGTCGAGCCAGCGCATCAAGTGCGCGACACTGTCGTCGACCGAGTCGGAGTACGTGGCGGCCGTCGAAGCCGGCAAGGAGGGACGCCGACTTCGCTTCCTCCTCGCAGAGTTCCAGCAGTTGGATGCTGGGAAGCCGACCGTCCTTCGGGTGGACAACAAGTCGGCCATCACGGTCGCTGAGGGCATGGGGTTGACGGGCAACCTCAAGCACATGGAGCGGCGACAGGCCTGGCTACAGCACATGGTGAAGCGGGGAAAGTTTGCGCTGCAGTACATCCCGACCGCTGAGCAGCCAGCCGACTTCCTCACGAAGGCGCTGCACTATCCGGCTTTCAACCGGTGCTCCGTCGCCATCGGCCAGGTGCGCTTGGCCGACGTGGGCGACGGAGTTGACGAAGTGCAGCAGTAGGTGCCATGCCCTTTTGCATGGCTGGTGCGGTGGACGACGTGCTGTGTGTTGGGTGCACGTCGACGAGCTGTTCTCCGAGCAGTGCTGCCGTAGGGGCTGGAGGCCCAAGCGTGAACGCGGCAGGGGAGTGTCAACGGGAGTTGGGTGTTGGCCCCGTCCTCGCTTGGGCGGAGCCGACTTCGTGGTCGGATGTAGGGGTGCAGCCGACCTGCAGCAGTGGGCGGGCTGGTCGACGAGGTTGGTCGACCTGCACGGGAGCCATTGCATGGGCGCCGACTTCGGGAGGGCGCCAACTTCGGGTGGTCGACCCGGGACGTCGACCAGCCCTTCTGGTCGACTTGGGAAGTCGACCAGACCTTCTGGTCGACCTGGTAAGTCGACCAGCCGTTCTGGTCGACCAGGAGTGACGTCGACTTGGAGCTGGTCGACCAGGGGATAGTGGTCGACCTGGGGAGGTCGACTGGAGGTGGCCGTCGACTTGGGAGGTCGACCGGAAGTGGTCGTCGACCTGGGTGGTCGACGGGCACGCACTGGAGCCTCTGGTCGACCTGGTTGCCCGGTCGACCAGGTTACCTAGGTGACGAGGTGCTGCGAAGGCTTGCGATGGTCGCCCAGGTGGTTTTGGCGAGGACGACCTCGGTGATGGTATCCCGAGGTCGACGTGGTGCATCAGAAGCAGTCGTCAGCACGAAGTTGATGTGATGTGTGCGCTGTGCAGGTGACGAGGCACTGCACGCCAATCGTCTGCGAGCACCTGCGAAGTAGGTGCACTGCTGTCCTGCGGGAGCAACGTTGGCGCGCCGTCAACCTGCGACGTTGGCACGCCGTCGACCTGCAGTGTTGGCAAGCCGCGACTCTGCGCTGCTGGAGCGCGGTCGACCAAGTTGTGCTGGCGCGCGGTCGACTGTGCTGCGCTGGCAGTCGACCTGCTTGCATGCTAGCTCTGATGTAGTCTTGCCTTGCCAACTTCTTTGTATCATTGTTGTCAACTTTCTCTAGTGAAACTCTTGCCAATTTGCCCCGTGAACTAGCAAGTAGTGTGCGCACTAGGAAAACGACTAAGGACCAACGAACGCAGAGAGCATCCGTGCCTAGCCCGTAGTCTAGCTCCCGTGACTAGAGTTATCTCCGCAAGTGACGCGTCTACGCTTAGTCTTATCGACATGCGATTACGCACTTGGGTAAGTTACGCACTTACGCTTAGTACCATCCACATGGGTAAGTAACGCACTTACTCTTATTACTTTCCACATGCATGAGTAACTCACGTAATCTTAGCACCATCAAAATGGGAAAGCAATGCACTTACTTTTAGTACCTCCACATGGGTAAATTACACACTTACTCTTTGCACCATCAGAGTGGATATGTAATGTTTTAGCACCACCAATATGGGTAAGTGACGCACTTATACGTAGTACCGTCGACATGGGTAAATTACGCACTTACTCGTAGTACTATGCACAGGGGTATGCTACGCACTGTCTCTTAGCACCATCAACATAGATAAGTGACGCACTAACCTTATGTACCATCCTCTTGGGTAAATAAAGCGCTTGCTTTTAGCACCATCAATACGGCCAAGTGACGCATTTACGCATAGTAACATCCACATGGGTAAATAACACACCCATTCCTAGTACCATCAATATCCTAAGTAACGCAATTACTCGTACTATCTATATGGGTAAGTAACACACTTACTCTTAGTACCATCTACATGGGTAAGTAACGGGATGACGCAATTATTCGTAGCACCATCAATATAGGAAGTAACGCACCTATTCTTAGTACAATCGGCATGGGTAAACAACACACGTAGGCTTAGTACCATCCACATGGGTAAGTACCGCAGTTAATCTTAGTACCATCCACCTGGGTGAGTAACTCAATTACTCTTAGCACCATCCAGATGAATAAGTGACGCAAACACACTTAGTACTATCCACATGGGTAAATTGCGCAATTACTCGTAGCACCATCAATATGAATAACTAACGCAATTACTCCCAGTTCTATCCATATGGGTAAGAAACGTACTTACTCTTAGTACCATCCACATGAGTATATGGCGGAGTTACTCTTAGTACCATCAGTTGGGAAGTAACGCACTTATTCTAAGTATCATCGACATGGGGAAGAAACGCACTTACGCTTAGTACCATCCACATAGGTAAATAACGCACTTACTCGTAATACCATCCACATAGGAAAGTAACGCACATATTCTTAGTACTCTCTACATGGGATAAGGAACATACTTACACTTAATACCCTCAACATTGATAAATTACGCACCTACTTTAAGCACCATCCAAATGGGTAAGTAACGCACTTTCTCCTAATACCATCCGCATAGGTAAATTACGCACTCACGCTTAGCACCAACAATGCACTTACTTTTAGTAGCATCCCCTTGGGTGTTGTGTGTCGGCCTCGTCAACGCTTGGGCCGAGCCGACTTCGTGGTCGGATGTAGGGGTGCAGCCGACCTGCAGCAGTGGGCGAGCTGGTCGACGAGGAAGTCGACCTGCACGTATACCACTGCAAGGGCGCCGACTTCAGGATGGCACCGACTTCAGGGAGGTCGTCCTGGGAAGTCGACCTGCGGAGGGCGTCGACTTGGTGACGCCAACTTGGGGCAGCCGACTTGGATGGTAGGCTGACAGGACTGCTGGTCGACCTCGAGGTTGGTCGACAGGCGTGACGTCGACCTGGTGGTCGAAGAAGGAGGGGCCGACGTCAACCTCGACAGAGGGAGTCAGGACGCCGAGCAGCTGGGCGTCGAGTA